CTTCGCGTTGTCAGTTCCCGACATAGCTGCCACGTGAGGTCATGACATGACAGTCGCATCGCAAGGTCATGGAAAGGTGTCATTTCGCTAACAATAAGTACACCCCAGCGAAAAAATGTGTGTCCTTGTGTTACTATCGGCTAAATACATACAGGGAGGAAGCACAAACCGATACGAGGTTTCAGACGAATTTTTGAGGTATTTTTCTCTCACTGTCAGTGCAGAAACGTGCTCTAGGGATTTTTAGAGTGGCTTCTTTGTGACCGTCTCTCACTTTGATATAGTCTATCGTTCGTTAGGTGACGCACAAAAGACTTTTCTATCTGAGGCCTTTGTGGGGGCAGACTTGACGAGTCGCAATGTTGCAGCATGCTAAAATCTTACAAATATGGGCACACCTCTGCAATTTACTTAAAGGGGAGCGCTCATAAATTAAGGAACGCACTTCTCCGGAATGTTTTGACCCTCTTCTCCCCTTGTAACGCTTTTGTGACGGAGGCCCTTCTCCGATATCACGTAAGAAAATTGCGCAACGCACTCCTTGACCCCCTACTTCTAGAGCGGTACATAATTTACGAACGACCCCAAATTTATTGTTGGGTATGTATTCAACATCGTGAAATATCCTCAGATTTTGCTTGAACGAATGTGCGCATTTGGCGGAGTAATTAGGTAATTTTTGGACGTATTTCTTGCGAAACGGAACTCAACGGCTTTTAAATATACACGGAAAAAAAATTGCTGATTCAACAATTCAATTGCTAAAAACAGTAAGTGCAATGTTTCAACGCAGATTTTACAACAAAAAAATGCTACTTTAACCACCCCCGTGGTTAAATTAGTTTACAATGTGGTTAAAGTAGCATTTTTTTGTTGTAAAATCTGCGTTGAAACATTGCACTCACTGATTTTAGCAATTGAATTGTTGAATCAGCAATTTTTTTTTACAAGAATGCAATTTGCCAGTGAAATTTTCGCCACGTAAAAATTTACCTCGAAATGTAGCTTTCGTTCTATTGCCTAGGAAACCAGGACGAGGCACTATAAAAGACGTTTTTGTGTATGCACAAGGGAGGAAAAAAAATTGAGTCTCTTGCACACCAGAAATCTAGGAAACTAAATGAACTTAGAATGAAAGTAACAACACTACAAAAACCTTGATTACAGCTGCAAATTTTCATGAATCGATGGAAGACATGAGGAATATATCAAAATGTGTGTGCCGCAGGCTGAGGCTTCTTACCTAGATGAAACATATTTTCTTAAATTCATTCCTTATTTGGACGTATTTATGCTAAAAAGAACTATGTGCATATAGGGATTGCATATTGCATAGTTCCCTTTAGCATAAACCCGTCCTTTTAAAATATGAGAGGTTTTTCCCGCCTTTTTTCCCTTCAAAATTTGCCAACAAAAAACGGGTGTAGCGGAAATCAACAGCCTTTGCCCGGATTCATGAGGAGTGTGACGTCATGACGGGAAAACTTGGCGAGACTTTAAAGACGAGAAAAGGCACGTCTCACGTGTCACACGACACTAAGCAAAGATATTTAAAGAGTGCTCTCGGAAGGAGGTGGAGGTTGGTAATTGAAGAAACTGTCTATTTATCTTGCCGGGGGATAAGATAAAATGTTCATTCTGCTGTGACAGGAGAAGGAAGAACCCATTAAAAAGCTAAAATGTTTGTTTATCTGATTGAAGGTACCTTAAAGTTGACTGTGATTTAAGCTTATAATTTCTAAGGGCGTTGCAAGACACATAATCGTGCCAAGCAACGTTCTGATGTGAGGGAAGCTCTTCAATATACAGGAGTATAGAAAGCTCTTCAACTTGCGCTAGAACCCGCGGAACTTTAAACCTGTGACAGGCTACGTCAAAGTACATTTTATGGTCATTATTTTATTCAGCCATAACAAAAGCAAGCCTTAGGTGCCTTTCAATTTGTTTTCAATTGCTTTCTATTGTTGTAATTTTTGGATTATCTTGCCCCAAAAAGGTGCAGAATCAACCTATCTGAGTTGTGATATAGGTAGTCATTACTTTGTCTGACCTTCAGGCTCATTTCTATTGACTCTATCCCTATTTATTCCAAACTTTTCTCATTTGTCACAAATACCCCGGATATGCTGATTCAATCAGATTGCCATCAATTATTCCACATTCATCACGAAATACACAGGGAAATTCTTCCACCGTAAATTTTGCCGAAAACACTTGTGTGCTCCACTTCACTCGAGTAAACCACGGTTTTTCTGTTAGCGGGAGGCGTGAATTAACGAAAAGGTACCGCAAAGTATTTTCTATGCCATGAGTTGAATTTGTAAATGTTTGGATGTGTCCATCGTATTCTACGTAAAATTTCGATGAGAGAACATAAAACATACAGGGTGATCCAAAAGTCCCGCACGAGGCATCGCCCGCCACCCCTGTAACTTTCGAACAAATAGAAATGGAGACTTGGAATTTTTTGGGTGCTCCTAAATCAAAGAAAACAACCTTTGGGACCCTCAAAATTTTGAAGGGCGGGCCACTCCAAAAAGGGGCTGAAACCTTGGGGGTTTATGGGGTGGTGTTTGACCCCTAGGGGTACGGATTCCCATCCTTAGAGCTGCTGGGAGGTTTAAATCCCTCCTGGCGGGGGTTAGGTACTCCGGAGGCATCGGGGTACTCCTATGAGGATGGGGGCCCGGCTGGACATTGTTGCGGGGGGCCCTCTCGCCTGACGAGGTAATGACCGCAGGTTGACCGTTGGGTGGGAATTCAACTCGGACAAAAGGGGATGCGTAGTGCGGATGCATCTCAAGGGGAGTGTTGTTAGTGTTTGGCGGGCCCACCGTCATAGGCCAAACCCACATAACCATTCACACTCCCAGGCCGAGGTCTCCGGGCAGCGGTGCCCGGGACGTTACACTCGGTCTGGGCCGCGATTGGTATCTGGTCTCCCGGGAGCGGGTCTGGAAAACCCCCCCGGGGCCCGCCGGATCTGGGGGCACTGGATCCACGGATCTGGTTCCCCCTCAATCCAGTGCGGGAGAAAGCAGATTTTCACTTCCGTTTAAACAAAAAAAAAAAACAAAAAAAAACAAAAAAAAAAAATGGGGTGGTGTTTGATTTTTGGGTCAACTTGTACAGGGTGACCCAGAGTTAAACAGCCAGACTGCAGGGGCCGTAAATTGAGATTTCGATTTTTTTAGATAATTTATCAATTCAGGGCATAAAAGTACAGGGGAGTGCGAATTTTCATAAGATTTGATTCACAACCGTTGCCAAAAGTCAGGAAAAACGATTTACTCTCCGAAATTTTTAGGGGCCGCAACTCCAACGGGGGGCACTTTTGAAAAAAACTTACAATAAATAAAGTAAATTACATTAAATAAGTACAACCAAAAAGTCTTATTTTGACCCGGAGAACACGCCCCTGCAGTCTGGCCGTTTAACCGTGGATCACCCTGTATATTGTGGTTTTTAATTTTCAGTTACCCTGTTTAAGTGGTCCATTCTATCCTCCCCTTTTTATCTGTGAGAAAAACTTAAGAAGTTGAGGGCTGACAAATTCACCTGTTTGCATGAGAGTCGTTAACTTTGCACAAGTACTTATCTCGCCGCTGAAAAGTTCCCTCGACATAATTCATCTTGCGGGACTTGCGGACGCTCCTCTGGAAACACCATTCATCTAAAAATGAATCACATGCAGCTTCCGGAATTCGTCACCGGTTTATTAGCTATTCAAATCACTTGACACTCTCCGGGGAGTTTTCGCGCCTCGGGGTTGGTTCCGTTAATCGGAGCACCGACTGCCACAGCGAGGTGCAAATTCGCTGAGTCCTGCCATTAGTTTCCGCCGGTCGCAAAACACCCACACCTTTCCCCGCAAAACCCCTTTTTAGTCTATTTAAATAGAAGCTTCGACTTGGCTTCTTTCTTCATTTTATGTCTAGTTTCTTTTCACCAGTTTTCGCGATTCGCAAAACACCTATCTTCCCCTTGAATTGCATTTTCTGTCTATCTAAATAAACGCTCCGTTCTTTCAGATTTTTTTATTTTTTATTTCATGTTTATTAGTTTGTTATTATTAGTTTCAACGATTGCCAAAAACGCTCACACCTCTCCCCCCAAATTCTATTTTCAGTCAATTTAAATAATGGTTTTTTTTCTTTTTTATTCTTTTCTTTCTTTTTTTATTCTTTTATTTCTTTTTTTCTCTTCTTTATTATTGATGGAGTAAGGCAAGCGACCCCTCCCAGTGGAAATAAAATACTGAAAAAACAACGTTTTGGAGTCGAAAATATCAATTTTCAGTCTCTGATACTAGTTGTCCCCCCCCCCCCNCATTTCATAGAAAAATTTCGTCGAGATTTCAGCCGTGCTTTGAATTATCAATTATGATATCACGGTCTGAAACAGATCATTTCTAAAGCTGGCATTGTCGCTGCTTAAATTCATGCGTGTTCTTCTCAAATGCGTTCTTCCTCTAATTTGTTGAAACTTTTTTCCAAAGGTCAATTTTTGGATTTGTGAGCGTCATTTGCGCCAAAAGATGCAATATTCACTGTTTTAAAGTAGGGTCAGCTCATTTACTGAAGGAGGTCTCAATCCTAAAGTCCGTTTCTTGGGCATATGGTAACATATTGAAGGTGACCCTCCCAAATCATGTATCCCGTTTGCGATGCGTTACCTGAAATCTCCACTCCTATTTTTTTCTTCCTTTTTTCCCCCCTATTTTTTATTTTTATTATGTAAAGAAACTCAACATCATTCCTTATAATTTTCTCAGAATTTTCTTCACACAGAGAAAAAAATCGCGACAGTTTTTACGAGGCGCCGTTGATTAGTTTTCTATTGAAAAAATGAGGTAAGTACCTATGACGTGAAGTCGGTAATGTCGCAAACCTAGATATACTTGGTTTGGGAGTTGAACACTCGATAAGTTTATGTTACTCTATGGATTTACAGGAATATATTCACCTTAATTTAATCTCCTTCTTTTTTCTGTTCTTCAGGGTAAAGCGGCAACAGCCTGGCTTGAGAAGGAAAAAAGAGGAACCTCTTATTCTTTTGACGAGCATAGACCACGACACTCCTCCGATCCTCATCGAAAATGGTCGCGCAGACATAGGGTGAGTGTAGAGGCGTCACCTCATTCTTTCCCATTGAGTTACCTCTCTTATGTTTTGAACCTGAATGTGTCCCACCTTAAAAGTTGCCAGATCACTCCACCGGGAGGGGGGGGTGGTGGTATAATTTTAGCAATAAACTGGACCCAATTTTTTTGTGTCGGCTTACATGAATTCAGTCGCAGCAACAAGTAGTTGGTAACATTACCTCACTCGGGGTAGTGCCAGAGTGCTAACCTCTAGTAGCAGCGACAGAAAGACAATAGGATTATGTAAGAGGGTTTCATCACTTTGTTTGTTGGTTGCATTATTTTCAAAGAAATACATCATAGATCAAAAAGTGGCCTGACCATGTCTACCGAAGAATCGTCTAACGAGGCACAGGGCTTTCCAAATCTGTCAAAGGAATTGATCTCACGGGGGAAAAAAAGGTTCAAGGGTTATCCCATGAATGTATGGTACCAACCCCAAATCGTTGGATGTTAGTAACCTAATTTATTGGGGTGCGAACACAATGAATTAGAGATGCCCATATTATCTAACAAACCCTTCTTCCTTTTTTCCGTGCTTGATATGACTTGGTTCCCTTTCTGTCCAAATGTAGTCCTCTGTTCACTGAGTATATATATGGCACTGTCGTGTATGCTTAAATCATGTTTTTTTCGTGGGCAGATTATTTGCCCTCAATATCAAGTTTGGATGAAACTTAATATTGTTCATCCAAAAAAAAAAAAAGACCTCGACCTCCACTCTATAAATTTTGGAAGTAATCGATAGTGCTGTAGATGGTCTTATTATTATTATTAAATATATATTACCACTGTACACCAATGTGAGTTTGGTTGCTTTATTCCCTTATACAGGTGCAAAATTATTCTATTGCATAGAGGATGCATAGAGATAATGTAAATAGGAAAGCTGGCGCCATGTTCTTCTAGTCGACGAGTTCCGAGCCTAGTGCGTGCGCCGAGCTTCGGTCACTTTTTCGATACATTTTCGATCCAAAATGGCGATGTAGAATACGTAATAATTCTTATCCTCTGTGTTTACATCAGATGGCCGGGTCCTCGTGTATCGAAAACAATCGATTATGTATCGAAAAAGTGGCCCGGCGTTACCCAGGAGTCTCGGAATCCGGGACCTGGAAAATGCTCAAATAGCTCTCCCATTTACATTACGACTCTATGTGCTCTATGAACTATTCTGCTCGACTCTTTGCCACAAGCTGCATCTACACCATATTCGATGGATCGAGAATAAATAGAGATTATCAATCAATTCTATTCTCTATTTTCGACTTTTTAGGCTCTTGAGCCTGTTAAAAATGACCGATTCAATTGCCTAACAGTATCCACGACCCTTGTTTTCTTTTCGAATCGACGCGGGTGAGTCTAACCTACTTTCACGGAGGAACACGAGAATACCGGAATAAACATAACATCCTCGTCCCTTTTCGTCGAATTGCCGAGTGAGACCCTCATCAGGAAAATTATTCTGGCTCGTAGCGCACCCTTTTTCACGCCTCTCATCCTCATCCCCGTTCCGAACGTGCTGGTGCGACGCGGCGCGTGTGTCACTGAAAAGCGAGCAGTGGCGTCCAAATTTTCCAAATCGAGTATCCTTCAAAATTCGCCTGATCTAATTTTAACGAACCGTCTAATTTAAACGAACTGACTAATTCAGCAAAATCAGCAAAATTCGTCTTTAGTATGAAAACCAAAATTAAATAGAATAAAGTCGTAAGTAACTGCGTGAAAAGTGACGTCATTTCGGGCAGTAAATTAACATTATTTTGCGAGAGAACTATGCATACTCCTGTGTGGAACAAAATAGTACTTTTTCCTGAAAATTGGTATGCCTTTCGATCGCCAGAGGAAGAAGGAGAATAAATAAAAGAAAGAAGTAGAAAAGGAGTGAAAAAAGGGGGAGGAGGGGGGAGGGAGAAGAAAAGAGGACGAAAAAGAAGAAAAGGCGAGGAGGAAGAACAAAGAAGGATCGCCTTCAATTTTTAGTGTAGGCCGCACGAGCTCCCGCATGGCCGAATCGGGGATGCAATCGTGACATGGCACACACGAGTGAAAGCTTTTTGCCAAACGGATGGATCGAGATAGCACTAGATTGGTAAGCATCGATGGACGTAGATAAACATGAATCGATCGAGGTTCGATTTTATTTTTCCATTTCATCATGTCAATTGACACAATCCCGGTCCATCGCACGGTGGATCGAGTCCATCAGAGAGGTCGGACACAACATTCTCGACTAAAACCGCAAATTTTGATGCTTAATTCGTCACATTTTAAATTTTAAGGGGTGCCTCTAGAGAAAAATTTTACGAGGAAACTAATGGGGCCACTTTTAAAACCTTAACGTTTTGTTGCAATGGAGTTATAAGGTTTTGAAGTTTCCAAATTTTGTCCGACCTCTCCTATTGACTCGTTCCATTCTGCATCGCTCCGGTTAATCCTAGGGAATTACTCAATAGATGAAGTGAGCGAGTTCTAAATTAATAATATATGACGAAGCATCCAGAACCGTGACTTCAGTCATGGGCTTTTTCCTAGTCTCATATTGTCGAAGATAGAGTTCGTCATCGTTTAATGATACCGAGAAATTTTCCGACAGCCTTTTGGGTGAGGATTGACAATTTTGTGCAAAACGGCGAATTCGTTGAATAAAAACCACCCGGACGCTACTAGATCCAGTTCTGCTTGACTTCATTTATGTCTCATGGCTCTCTCCAGTAACACGGCAGTACGATCCGCAATGGCTTTTAGCGTAGGTAAGCGAAGAATATCTGGAACGCATTGACGATCGCACCGCGTTTGTGGTGAGGACTACACTGATGTGCGTATCTTTTTGCATCGGCGCTAATTGAAGGGGTTTCTATTTTATATAGTCAAAGGTAAAATTCGTCGATATTCAATCGCCCGAACAATTTGTAAGAGTATTTTGGATGAGTATCGACAATTTTACGAAGAACGGAGGTTCCATTGGATAAAATTTACCGTTCGGACGCTCCTAGATCCGTTTCCTCGACGTTTTATACCTACACTTACTTTTCTCTCCAATAACACGAGAGCTTTTCTCCCGCCGCACAGTGGATCGAGTCAATTAGAAAGGTCGAACATTATTTCTTTGATTAAAACTACAAATTTGTATGTTTATTTCGTCACGTTTTAAATTTCAAAGGATGCTTTAAGAAGAAAATTTTACGGAGAAACCAATGGAACCACTTTTAGAACCTCAAAGTTTTGCATAAACGGAGTTATAAGCGTTTAAAGTTTCCGAATCTTGTCCGACCTCTCCTATTGACTCGATCCACTGTGCGCCGCCGCTCTTCCCCGTTTTGATGGAGGCTCGCTTCACACTGTCACGCACGACGACGTGAGTACGTGACGCTGGGTCGCGGTCGCAGCGTGGACGATCCGCGATCGACGGGCCGAGAAACGATGAGCGCCGTCCTTTGCGTTGACGAATCACCATGTCGGAAGTCAATTGCATAATTGATGAGACCACCGAAGTGAGAAACAAGCTAATGGCCGCCGCACACGACGAATCATACACCCGCTATTAAAAAAACATAGATATACTAGGGGGCTACGCCCCCTGGCCGCTACGCGGCCCAACCCCCTGATGGCGCTCCGCGCCATCAATGGGCCGCTTCGCGGCCCTATTTTTACCCTCCTATCAGTGTTAGTTTTATTTTTCCCCTAAAAAATTATGATATGAGGTATACTTTAATTTTAAACTTTACTTAAAATTACTTTAAAATTAAAGGACGCGTTTTGGAATGACTGCTTGATGAAATATTGCAGTAAAACAAGAAACATTTATAGTCAGGTATTAATCGAAATTTCAGGGGTCGGGGATCGAACCCACACCGAGTTCAAAGTGGACGCACTCGACGTCTTAGACGACACAGCCATCGCTCCACTTTTCATGCTGGTGCGAATCTTGTGTAGATAAGTGTAGAGCTGATGCGCAGGCTACCCATCTACAACTGCGCAACTTCCTCGACCACTGCGCATCCTCCCGCGCATAGCGGTAGCAGTACCGGAGCATTCTGTAAACTCACTCACTTTTATAACGTGATTTTAAAAAAACCTGGGTCCTTTTTCCAAAATCTGATTACAGCGGGCTCATCTAGGGCCTATTATTACCTGTCGATTTACGCAAGAATCATGGAAATCGACGCGGTAGAACGCTCAAACGAACTATGACAAAAAGTATAAATTTACATTGTTCAAATGGGAGAATTCGCAACTTTACCACGTAATATAAAAAAACTTGGGCTATATTTTGAAAATCTGAAAAGAGTTGGCTTATCTAGAGACAATTGCCCGTCGATAGCCGCAAAAATCATGAAAATCGGCCCGGTAGAACGCTGGAACTAAGCGTTACCAGTTTCGCAAAATTAGGAGGTCTTGGAGCTTATAGTATAGATAGCGCCTCTTGCCCTATCCGAGCTCAAGCGAGTCATTAAAAAAAAAAAAAAAAAAAAAAAAAAAAAAAAGTGTTAGCATTTCGAGCATCTTGGATTTTTTTGATGACGCACAGTGGATCGAGTCAATTAAAGTGGTCGAACATGACATTTTTGACTATAATTGCAAATTTTGATGTTTATTTCGTCACATTTTAAAATTCAAGGGGTGCTTTTAGAGGAAATTTCCACGAAGAAACTAATGAAACCACTTTTAGAACCTCAAAGTTTTGTATAAATGGAGTTATATAAGCATTTAAAGTTTCCAAATTTTGTCCGACCTCACCTATTGCCTCGATCCACTGTGTGACGCAGGTCGGTACGGATGATTTTCACTATAGATTTTCTTGGAAATGGTGTAGTTAATGGGGTTATTCGACGGACGCCATTTTTTGTGTCAGAGCGACGTGCGATATATCGCACCGATTCGTTCCATAATTTCAGCTACTTGTCTTTTTTTTCGAATTTTGAGATCGCAATACCGTTGTCATGAGTCTGAAGACTTCATGTACCAAATTTG